ACAAAGTTGGAATCATAGATTTCTCTCGCAAGCAGGAAAGGAAATTTTGCTAAAGTCAGTTGCTCAAGCTTTACCAACCTTCTGTATGAGTCTGTTTTTGATCCCGGCAAGTTTCTGTCAAGAATTGCAACGTATGATGAACAGTTTTTGGTGAGGTACAAAGAAAACTGGAAAGCGTAACCTTCACTGGCTTTCTTGGGACGGCATGTGCCATAGTAAAGACCAAGGAGGTATGGGTTTTAGACAATTAAAAGTACTTAATCTTGCAATGCTTGGAAAATAAGTCTAGCGACTTGTAAGTAACCTTCAGACATTAACCAGCTGAATACTCAAAGCAAAATACTATCCAGATGGGGATCTTCTAAATGCAAAGTTGGGAAGTAATCCTAGTTTTACGTGGAGAAGTCCGATTACAGCAAGAGATTGGGTGAGCATGGGATTACGGTGGGCGATTGGAACATGACAAAAGGTTGAGGTGTGGAATGATCCATGGTTACCGAGAGAGTCATCCTTTATGTGCAGAGTCCTGTTTTAGACAGTACGGAGGACATGTTGGTGAATGACCTGATGACTGAAGACTATTAGTTGGAACCCAGAAATGATCAAGGGTCATGTTTATTGAGGAGGAAGCAAATTTAATTCTTATTATTCCTCTCAGCCTGTTCAGACGGGAAGACAAATGTATCTGGGCGTTTGCATCGGATGGAAAATACTCGGTAGTATCTGCATATCACCACTTTCGCAGCCTGTACAAAAGCCCCCTTTGATAGGTTCCGATCTACATGGAAATTTGTGGGGTCAGCGATTATCCCACCTAAAGTTGAAAATTTTCTGTGGAGACTGCTCAACAATGCTCTGCCAACCAGGGTTAGATTGCAAGAAAGAGGTCTAGATATTGATCCGCGATGTCCGAAGTGTGAGAGAAATGAAACCAGGGAGCATGCCCTCTTGGAGTGTGATAAGGCCAGAAAGTGTTGGGAACTGTTAGGTCATCCCGTCCCAGGGTCATCAAATAATGACATTTCCTGCTGGTTGGAACGAACTGTAAGAACCGCTTCTGCGGAAGGTACGACAAAGATTTTCTGCTGCATGTGGAGGTTATGGCTAGAAAGAAACAAATTTATTTGGCATGGTACAGTGTCTGCAGATTTAACAACGATTTTTCTGATGCGCAAATTCTTAACGGAATTGCAGCAAGCCAATGAAATTAGGAGAAGAGGTCTGCTTTCAAATGATCAGGTTTCATCGATTGCTAGAAGCGGGACACCACCTGAAGCGGACCACCTGGAAATGTAATGTTGCCACTGCTGTTTTTCACTCACTAAACGAGGCGGGTTTTGGTGTGGTTATCAGGGATGATTCGGGGAGGGTGCTTATTGCCTTCTCGAGCCGAAATCGTGGGTGTCTGGATCCATATTTGGCAGAGTTACTGGGATGTCGTAGCTGCTCTACAACATATTGTGCTAAATGTTCAAGGGAAGGGGGTGATTGAAATGGAAGCGCAGAAGGTGGTACGCATTTTGCAAAATAGACAAGAAGAGAGCTCAGTGTGTGGTTTTATAGACGCAGATTGCTTAGAGTTATTACATAGCCGGCCGGATATTTCATTGCAAAGGGTTAGCCATGATTGTAACTTAGCAGCTCATCAATTAGCTCAGGCTGCATGTAATTTTTCTGATCATCATATCTGGGAAAGTCTTCCCCAAATTATGGATGTAATATTTGCCAATTAATTCAATGTCATATTTCACTAAAAATATATATATATATATATATATATGTTTATTATTTACTTAATATATATCTTAAAGGTTTTAAAGTAATTAGCTTTACTTTTAAACCTTAATTTAAATAATAATTTCAAATTTTTAAAAGATAAATGTATATATATATAACCAGCAACATAGGGAAAGAAAAGAATACAAATAAAGCCATTTATTAACTTTACTTGGAGAAAAAGGCAAGTCCAGTGACGCACCGACAGAAACTGAAGCCGCCGGCAAACGGCCACCTTCTTCGCTCCCATCAAAGATAGCCCTACCTCCTCTCTCTATTCTCTATCTGTTGTCTTTACCGAAACTCACTCTCACCCGGCGACATTTCCCTTCGTTACCGACTGGAGCATAAGCTGCTGTGTTCAACCTCCAAACTCCGTTTTTCAGCTTCGACGCGCATTCCTCCACAAGTTCTTCTGTGACTGCTTCTCTTTATCAACTGTATGAGTTACATTTCCTTTCTTCATGTTTTTGGCTTCTGAATGTGCCTTCGATTTTTTTTTTATTCGGGATTCATCCTGTCAGGTTTCTTGCCATTGACATTTTCTAGTTAAGCTCAAACGTGAACTAATAAAATAGGCTTTTTGTTGTTAAAAAAAAAAAAAATCTCGTTTGACAAAATGTTTGAAGAGGGTTTTCTATACTGCTCGTGGTTTTTTGCTATATATGTTCGCGTACTTATGTTTTTACTATTGTTTCCCTATTAGATCCGGTTGGTGAATAAGTGTAAGTGTTTGGTTTGATTCTGCCTATAAGGTGCTTGTTAATATGCTCCTGAGGAAAACCGTGGTTTCTTTATGGCTGCCATATGGTTGAAAACCTAAATGTTATAGCCCCTTAAATTGTTTATTTTCATGGATTGCATCTCGTTTTTCAGTTTCGTTTCTTTTCTTGCATGTACAACATGGAATGTGTATGTGCATGTGGAAATCTTATTGTGTGCAGTTACTTTTAGATTATCTGGGCGTTTTTGCTGTTTTCTAAAAATTTTAAATTACAGAAATTATTCCTTAACCTTTAAGTAAGGATTAGTTAAAGGGCGGTTGTAATGATGGTGTAAATCGAGTTTTAGTGAGGGGGTATGCTCGTTAATTTTGATTGCTATTCTGCTTCATGCTTTATAGGGGCTTGGTTTTAATCGTTTTAGGTCATGTCCATAAAAAACTTGCTTTACCATCTTTGAATGACTTCATTTTTTTATTTCATTAATCATTAATGATTTACTTGGCTTTATTTGTGAGATAAAAGTAGAATAAATAAATGAAGGCAGTAAAGGTATTATCACTCACGTACGTAATGGAGAAATATAGAAATCAATCAAAATGTCAATCCTCATAAGTAACATGAGGATTGCCTTGGAGCAAAACAGCTAGGGTTATCATCGAAGCTCATTTGTTCCTCTATTTCCAAACACCCACAAAGTAGCTGAAGGGACGAGAGAAATTGTTTTCTTCCTTTTATCACCATGGATACCCTACCTAGGCTAAATCTCATCCACCACTTGGCTTTTTATATTTTGTTTTTGAGCCAATGGTGAAACCCCATAAGTTATGTTTTAAAAACTAATATGCACTATTACATAAGTATATATGTCTATGCATATATATGCATGTGATTTTTTTTTTTAGTTTCTTCCTTGTAGTTCTTTTCTTTGATGGATGTTTTTAAAAAAATTAATTGTGTCTTGTATAAGCACTGCTTTTTAGTTTCATTACTTTTATCTATTACTGGCACATATTGGTCATATTAGATTTAGGTCTGCAAAGCACAATTAAATCCTATTTGTTGGAGCTAAGAGAAGGAGAAAGCCCCTTTTTTCCCATTTATTTATTTATTTTTCTACCCTGCTTCTTTTTTCATCCTTGATAGGTTTGCAATATTTGTCTAATCCTTTGAAGAAGTTTATATCCAAAAGACAGGTTTATACAAACTTGTGTGTCCACTGTAAATAAAATATAGACAATTGTACACAATTCATGTCCTATTGATTATTCTACATTGTACCTTGCACAATTTCGTCTTGTAATTAGTTTCCCATACTTAATTTGTATATTGACCAGTCCAAAAGTATCGAAATCCGCATAGTAGATTGCTGGTGACTATCTTAGTGGTATTTCCTTATCAGACTGTTGAGCTTAGGTAAGAAAATGTTCCGTGAATATTTTTGTTGTATTCTGGAAATTCTGGAAATGCATGGTTGTGGTTTGGTGGCTATTTTATTATTTAAAGAAATGAAAGGGAGTTGTGATTGGCACCAAATGATGTTACTGTTATTTGTTTGCTCTCTGCTTCAATCTCTTGGTTTAATTGATGCAGGAAATATTTCCTTTCACTTCTAGAAACAGGGAAATATGCTCTGTTGACAAGTTCGTTCACCACTGTTGAGCACTAGATAGTTTAAGTGAGGGTACACTTTTGAAGAAGGTCTGCTTGTTAGCTCAGTTTCTTTTACCAGTTAAGAATTGAGCAGATTGGTAAGTAAGATGGAGGGAGAAAGTGGCCAAGAAAATCCTTTACAGTTGAGATCCCTCACTTTTGCCGGGAATTCCAATTATGGCTCTTATGGTTCTGGAGACGATCAAAACCAGCTATTTCCTATGTCAGATGGAGTGATTGAAAGCCAGCCTGATACTTTGTCATTATCTCAGTGGCTTCATTGCTCAAAGACACCTTGCAGTTACGTTGAATTTCTCACAGGAAATTCCGGATACCTTGAGAATGCTCCAATTGCAGATTTAATGGAGTCTGTTGCTCTGCCTGGTGGTGGCATAGATGCTGTTGAGAGGGTCTCTGAGGTCCAAAGAGGATTGTTAAATAATGATCTTGAGAAGGTTTTTGCTCCTAGAGATAATGATTCTTCCTCTGACATGGATGCTTGGAAGTTAAAGCAATGTACCTGTATGCTCAATAGCAACTTCCATGAAGCCTCAGTAAGTGCATGTATCAGAGAACTAGTGTTGAAAACCATTTGCCCCACCTTGTCATTCCCGATGAATTTAGTATAAACTGTTGTCTGTGTTCTTACACGTTAACTGCAGATATTGAATGTTTTGTATGACAGGTAAGTTTTCTCAAGCTGCAAGATGGAGGATCAATCTACTCAAAATTTCAGACCTATGCTCAGGTGAAGAAGTTTCTTCTTCTTTCTTCATCATTAAAACAATTTTTCTGTCTCAATGTGCCACATTTCGTGCTAAGAATTTGGCTATTGATGATGGTATGATTCAAATGTCGTGCAACAGAATCAGACTTTTGGGACACAAGAACCAAGTGGAAATGATTGTAATTCCTTTCATTTTCGTTCCAAGTATGGAGTCCAAACATCAGGTTTCCTGTCAAAGCCACGTAATAGGAGGCCAAGACAAGGAACCTCTGCAACTGATCGTGTAAGCAGAACACCTTTCTTGAAATACAGCATATTTGTTGTGCTAGGTTGGATATTAACCTTATTGTCTTGTGCATGAAGAAAATGAATCATGATTGTTATTATCTTTCTTGAATTAATAGATTAGGGATTGTTTTGCTTGGCTGTCGCCAGACTTTTTACTGTTTTGCATTTCTTTATTTCAATTCAGCAACGCAGATTGCGAATTGCTGATAAACTGAAAGCACTGCGAGGACTGCTTCAAAATTCTGAGGTAAAGGCATGTTTTTACCTAAGAACCTCAGGAAAATGCATTCAGGCCATTTTCTTGCACTTTCCATCAGTTTATATGTTAAATAGCTTTTCTTTTTTCCCCAACTCTTTGCCGTGTCTGCAAAAAAAAAGGATTTTGGGATACAGCTTAATTTTACAGTAAGATTCAGCTTTTAGATGCGGAAAATTGCATATATATCTGTATTACCATCAATCTTCAGTTTAAGCATGTAAGTTCAGTTGGAAAAATCAGATTTATGAATCTTTCAAATTCATTTTCCATTTACTGCATATTTCAATGAACTTCTAAGAGATGACAACAGCAAAAATCAACAGATTGAATATGATATACATTACACTTGGTATTAGTCTGTACTTTCTCCATTATCAGTCTTCAATATGATTTAGACCGCTATGTTTGCTCAGAATGGATGGGAGTTCATCAATCTAACTGCTTAGTTCTTGGTTTTGTAGGGTAGCCAAACATCTGTAGTTGATGATGTTATTGGCCATATCAAGTTTCTGCAATTACAGATAAAGGTAGTTATTTTACATGTTTCCCATAACCATGATAGCTGCACAACCTATGTTTGTCGTGTAAATTGCTATCTAGGATATGAGCAATGACAAAAGAACGATGGAATATTCTGTCTCTTAGCTTTGAATCTTAGGTTGCAGTTGGTTCAGTTCTCATTCAGAGTCTACTGTACTCCTAGCTATAATTTTTATGTTAGTCTTAATATGCATAACTGAAACATGGTTTTTTGTAGAGTTTAAAATTTTATCGAGGAATTCAAGGTGGGAATCATTATAACTTGAAGACTGCTAATTATTTTCTAATTATGCATGTTAAACATTAGTATGAAAATTTAACATGATGCAGCCTAAGATCACTAATCTGACTTTGTAAGGCAACTCAATTTTGCAGGAACTAAGTCGAAGTAGATTGGGAGGGGAACCGACTTCTCATCCTTTTATTTTTCTGGAGGTATTTGCCATCTTGTGCTTAAGTTTTATGAATTGGATGGAAATTAAGCAAGTAGAATTGGTGATTGATTATTTGCAGGGATATGGTCACTATATTCTCCATGAAAAGACAATGAATGGACCTCTTGAAGACTTGATGGGAAATCTGCTTGAGATGAATCCATCTGAAGCAACCCAATTGTTGGAGAGTAGAGGCCTCTACATAATGCCTATATCTTTTGCCGAAGGGTTCTGCCAAGCTGCGTAGATATCTTCCTGATCTTATTACATAAACATCTAACAATTTGACTACTTCCTTTTCCATGGCATGAGGAGAAATGCTGCTAAGCAAAAACTATGCTCAGTTTGTTTTACAGTGAGAATGATTTAAATTTTT